CCCCATTGCTCAATTAAATCCATTGCCTTGTTCTGCTCTAAAAATAAGGGAGACTATTTGGTGTGGTTATATAAAATGGTTCTTATTTGAAGTTTGAGAGGGTTTTGGCATAGAAACTGCATGAATGAACATTTTGTTGACCTTTCTCCAACTGTCAGTTTTCTTTAAACTCAAATGAGAATACTCTTTAGTTGTCCCTAAAGAAATGTAACGGAAAGAACCCTTTAAACATGTATTATTCATAAATCCACTTAAGCAAAAACATCATCAATAATTCAATTATCCCATATGCTTGGCTGTGGTTTTCTTAAGCCACCGTCATTCAGACTCTCACATGTTTAATATCCCTAGTCAGGAGTCTTTCACATCCACCCCACCTGACATTTCCCACATCGGAAAAACAAAACAGCAGTAGGGTAAGTATTCAAATTAAATGCTAATTTTAAACCACAAAGAAACAGTTAATCAATAGCTCATATGAGAGGCGAAAATTAACCCTACAGTGCCCACATTTTGTCTACCTAAATTTTAAGAAACAGGGAGAGCCTTAGCACCTGGGGTGGGGTAAAGCAGTGAAAGAAAGCCAAAACTATGTTGAAATGTTAAGACTTTGAATAATAATTACAGCCACCTGTCAGCACTTCCAGCCCTAATCTAACCCAGCCAAGACAAGCCCCTTATGCTCTCTCTTTCAATCCTCACAGCAACCCCAGGAAGTGAGACTCACTTTTGTAAGTAAGGACATTGACACTCAGGCAGGTTAAGTAACCTGCTTAAAGATCCATACCCATCATAGCTATTAAATGCTGGAGTCAGGATTTCTATCTAGGTCTGTCTGAATCTCAGGTTAATGCTTTAACCTTAAAGCTATACTCAAGTGCTTTTAGATCCATGAATACTTCATAAATTCAACGTATTTTTAGAGGGTACTTATTGAAATGGGCCATGGTTAGCACTCACGTGGTTATCATTCACCATGGATCCCTTCCATGAGATGAGCAAGCCAAGGCTAATGTGTAAAGGGAGTTGAAACGGTGGACATAAGGCCAGATAGAAGTGAAAGGCCAGGAGACCGCCCTGCTTAAGGACAGGCTGGCATCAGGCAAGCTCCTAGCTCTGGGAGAGTGGGATTCCAGCCACAGCCATGTCTTCGGGGTTGCTGGTGCAGCTGTGCCACAAAGGTCACTAGGCTAAGTGCCAGGGAAGGGCGTGGTGGGCATGCTCTTCCATTCAGAACAATTCTTACACAGACTTTTGGGAATTCTGTAACTTCTCTACAGCCTTTTCAGTTCACTAAATGGGCAGTAATTATTTCTGGGTCCATCAAGGTAGAAAGCAATATGCTTAGGTCATAAATGCCCTAAAAGGAAGAATGAATTCAAAGTTACCATTTTCCTAGGACCCAGTGGCTATTATAATAAAATGTATTCCAATATAGCAGACCCAGCTGTATGGTTGTAAATGGTAATAACAATACCAGCCTGTATCCGTTTCTTAAGGCTGCCATCACAATGTAGCGCAAACTTAGTGGCTAAAAACAACAGAGAGTTATTTTTTTTAATGTTCTAGAGGCTGGAAATCTAAAACCGAGGTGTCAACAAGGCCATATTCCCTCTGAAGGCTCTAGGGGAGGATCCTTCCTTGCCTCTCCCGGCTTCTGGCAGCTCTAGGTGTTCTAGGTTTGTGGTGGCATCTCTCCAATCTCTGGCCCTGTCACTCGTGACTTGGCCTTCTCCTCTTTTGCCACTTATAAGGAAGCTGGTCATTCAGTTTAGGATCCACTCCAAGATGAACTCATTTCAAGAACCTTAACTTAATTACATCTTCAGAGACCCTTTTCCTAAGAAGGAAACATTCACTCGTAACAAGGGTTGGAACATGGACGTACTGGGGGGCAGGGGCCACCCTCAACACACTCCAGCACCTCACAGGGTGTGGTCAGGATTTAATTAGAACACGCATCTAATAGCAGCCATTGCCGTGCTGTAGGGACAGTGAGCACTGATATTATCTCCCAGAGCACAGAGTTCCAATGGCACAACAGACTTTGGAGACCAGTGAGGAGGCCCCGAAAGTATGACTGTTTTTACATAAAACGATACAGATTTCTTGACCTTTCAAAGAAGAAAAGCTGAAAAGTCTCTTATATGATGGTTCCTGATTGGTGGTTCTCAAAGTTGAATGTACATAAGAGTCAAGGGTGGGAGACAGTCTTAAAAGATCAGATTCCAGTCCCCATCCTCGGAAATTCTGATTCAGTAGGTCTGGGGTGAGACCTGAGAAACTGCATCTAAAAAAGTTCTTAAGGTGGTCCTCATACAGATGGTCAGCACGTCACATCTGAGGAGCTCTCCAGAGGGCTGCAGGAAGATCTTCTGTGATGTTATAGAGTTAGACATTTCTGGGACGTAACATGTCCCCACAAAACTGTATGTCACACAACAAAATGCTAGAAAGATTCTGAAGTTGCTATCCAGGCACTGTGTTTCATCTGAAAAAGCTAATTAAACATTGGTAGTTATGAAGTCCTACTATGTTCTGGGCACAGTGATCAATGCTGAAATATACACACATATGCAGGGTATCCCCCAAAAATGTATACACACTTTAACACTGATAGCTCAATTTTTAAAATGAAATGTATTTTAATAAGCTCTGCCTTTATAATTATTCAATTATACATTTTGGGGGGACACCCTATAGTTGTAGAAAATACACATTTATTTTTCAAGAAGCCATGGATCATTTGCAAAGACTTACCTCTTGTTAGGACCCAAAAATGTCTCAACAAGTAGCAAAGAATCTGTACCATATAGAACATTCTCAGTTCACAAAGAAGAAAAATTAAAAATCAATTCCAAGATAATGCCCCAAACTTCCCTCTCTTGCCAGTCTTAAATGTTATCTCAGCCTTATAATTTTTTAAGGGGAAGGGAGGTAAAGATAATAATGGATAGGACTCCTGTGGGTTAAGTTTCACCAGCCTAAATATAACTGAGATCAAATTAATCATACGGTCCTGATCACACCAGTTTTGAACGCCCTCTAATGCAGCCCCCTCCAAAGCTGCCCTGTCATTCAGGCTTCTGTTAGTACCCCTGTGGGAGCTTGTCTGTCCCAGGTTTTCTTGATATTTTG